TAAGCTTTGAGATGGCTAGCGCCACGCACTGTTGCTCGGTCTAGAGCACGGCAGATGCGATGGTCATCTCGACCTCTTTCACCCAGAGAGGAAATTCTCTCCATCCTTCCTCTCCAAGACCTTAGCGCTCACCACGAGCGGCTTAGGGCGGGGAAAGCATACGTCACTGACGGTGGCGTCATTGACGCAAATGATGCAGACATCTTCTGCTGCAGGTGCTCTAGCAGCGCGTTTTCGTAAATTGAAAACGCCTCTAGAAACGAACCAATTGCCTCGGGTCCTAGTGCAGCAAGGTGTTGCACGCCCTCAGGGCTAAGCAAGGATATTAGTTTTATAAGCCGTCCTGCATGCCCTGAGGCAAAGAGTATAATTATTCCATCTTCACTGAGGATCAGCCTAAACGACTCAGGTGTAGATTGACTACAAGTGCAACCAAGTGCAGCGGGGCTGCCGTAGCTTTGCGCTTAGAGTAAGCGTAGGTTACCGATCTTTCGTTCTACACTTAGAACAAGTACGAGAGTAATTACAACCTTAATCCAAGGCTAATTAACCCGTCATTCAAAATTGGCTTTATTTGTTTTTATCTGCTACAAAGCCGCCTAATTTTAAATGCATAGGTTTTCCTAATTATGAATAGTAAAATCTCAATCTACTGGCTATTTCGCCCCGTACCGTATACTTGTTTGGGTGTGGTCACACCATGCCCATCTGGTGTGACACACACCCTGTTACCAGGGTATGTGTAACCTCGTAACAATATACCACGTACATCATTCTTTACTAAAATTCTCATTACAAGGCATCCTACATGGCTAGAGTCATGTCACTTAGTGCTAGAATAAAGCAGCATTAGGATAACCATAGCGTTTCATGAATGTACCCACGCGCATCGTTAATGCGGCATCGTAACGTCCAAACACCTCGCTTTTAAGCTTTTAGCAGCGGAGCACATGTTGCGTCTGATCCTCAACTGTACGTATCACCTTATCAATTGACGACGTCACTGTTGTAACATGCAATAATATTTAGCTGGGGCGACGTGAAATCACATCCGCCACTTATCACGCCAACCCAGGTTATAATTATCCCAAAAATTTACCCGCAAAGGACGATTTTCTGTCAAATATGGATTGACGACGTCGTTATGCATAATCTGCATGGATCACAAACGGCATGAAGCTTAGCAGATGCATCCAAAGTTTGACGAGAGTTGACTTTCTTGCAAATAGCACCCGATTATGAAAAAGATTGTTTTTCGAAAGATTGAAACTTAATTGTAGATTCGTGTTCTTGCGTATTGGTATCTGGCTGAAGTAAAACGTGGTCGTCTTTCTTTTCCAAGTAGACCTTTGAGGCAAACAGAGGTAGGGAGGCAGCACAGCGCTATTGCATCGCTCAAAAATGATTTCTTGCATTTTGCAATGGTGGCGTTGCCTATTGATCATGTGATATGTACAACGTATGGGT